GGGGGTTAATGCCAGAGTAGGGCGATCAGCCAGCGACCCCCCCACCCCCAACGGCGGAGACACCCCGGATCCCTCGTTCCCACCCCCTCACTGCACGTTTGGACTGAAGGGCCCCCCCCCCGGCTGTCTGTGTTCTTCACTCACCCGGGAGGCGGGAGGCAACACTCGCAGCTGACCCAGAATGATTTCTCAGCGCACTGCTGTGAAGTGGGGCGGGACACCTGTTGCCAGGGGATTTGCCAGCCTTGTAAAGTTTGGGGGTCCCCCCCTCCCTGAAATGGAGATGCAGGGAATCGCTCCAGGTTCTTTTCTCTTGTAGGGAGCTGTCTGTGTTCTTCACTCACCCGGGAGGCGGGAGGCAACACTCGCAGCTGACCCAGAATGATTTCTCAGCGCACTGCTGTGAAGTGGGGCGGGACACCTGTTGCCAGGGGATTTGCCAGCCTTGTAAAGTTTGGGGGTCCCCCCCTCCCTGAAATGGAGATGCAGGGAATCGCTCCAGGTTCTTTTCTCTTGTAGGGATATAAATGGTTAACTGGTAAGCCTCTTACCGGCTCTGGTTAACTGGTAGGGGCTGGAGCAGCTCCCTGCCATCCCTGCAGGGACCACCTCAGGCAGCAGTCCCTGTCCCTGGCAGATCCTCCGCTCACAGGTTACACGTTGGCTCCCTGGGAGCGGGGCCAGCAACCCCTGCTAACTCTGCTTTCAGGGAGCTGGCTGCAGAGCCCATAGCAAAGCCTTCTTGGGAGTGGGGTCAGCAGGGGGGGTTGCAGGCCCTGATTCTGTGGAGGCTTCGCTGCGGGCTCTACAGTATAAATCTTATATATAAGTATTATACTGCAGTCTGCAGCATGTGTAACTTAGGATTTTGAGCAGTTACATGGTTGCATTTTTAATGTCTTTTTACATACCTACTTTATTTGCCTTCCCAGGCTTTTACACTTACATCACAGAGTTAAGGCTATTTCCTTGTTCATCAGTATTTCGGTGACTAAAACAACGTGTAGAGTTTTGTTGTTTTCAACATAAGCTGATGTAACAGACCTGGGAAAAACCCAGACATTATTTGCTGCTCCATTTCTTGCACATGATCTCAAAGGGGAAGTTGTTTTGGTGAAGTCTTCATGAAGCTACAAAATAAAGTCTTTGAGATGTATCACCAACATATGCAGGCACGCCATTGGGCACATCATCTGATCTGGGAATTGGGTTTAGTTGTTACATACACCACCAATTTTGTTGTCCATCTGATTCATTTAGTTGGTTAAATGATAAGCTTTTGTGCTGAAAAATACCAGTTTTCATGTTGTTATTATTAGTAGAGCTGAGAGTATATAGTAGGTGAGACTTTACTTTATATTAAGTATTGAGAAAGACACATCAAAGTAACAGTCACTGTCATGGACATCATTACTTCAGAGGATTTGCAGCCTTTTTGTAGGTAGAGAGAGAGAGAGAGAGACTTGTGCTGAGTTTTATGCACTGGGTGTTTCTGGGGTCTGAGATAGCACTTGTACAGTCACAGGTGGAAACCAAGCTATATTTGGTCATGTTTAAATGATCCTGTTAAAAAAATAGTGTACTAAACTGTTGTTAGGGGAAAACATGACAGCTAGCTATTACAGACAAATGATATTCCTGAACAATGTCCTTGTCTATTGTAGATATACTCACAGTATCAAATGATTTCAGAAACCGGTTTTAATAAGGCTCTCTTCTTAGTAGTGACTCAGCTACCTAGTTGAAATTGATTACAATGGTTTCTTACAAATTTAATTTTGTGGCATAGCTAGGGCCTCATTATGCACAGTAAAGGGGGGGAAGTTGTATAAACCAGTTTCAAGTCCTGATAATCTGAAAGCAATAATACATAGACCAGCTTTTTCAAACCACCAGGAGTTTGTTATTAATATACATTGTGCTTACTTTCCAATCAGATTGTATGATTCTTAATAATATTATTCTGATGTCGTGACAGGCATGAAGGAAAGTAAATTGGGAGGTGCCTTTGAGAATATTTTCCTCTCTGCTAGAAAATCTAATTAGACTGGGCAAATCAAAGAATCTTTGAGATGTTACTGAACAGAGGTTGGTTTCAAGTTGTATAAAACTGTAACACATTGTTGTCCTCCTTTATAGGGAAACAGAAAATATTTCAAGCGCAGTGAGCTAGCTAAGAAAGAAGCGGAAGCATACTATGAAAGATGTGGCTACCAGGTACTGTAATTATTAATTCAGTGGTTTGTGTGTTCACTTTGTCTATATTTAATATCAACAATCCAAATGTTGATGATAATTGTTGTTCTTTGTTCAATTTGTCAATGTTATACATTAGCCTGTAAATGAGAAGCCACCTGGAGAGGTATGAGTTTCCCAAAACATTTTTAATGCAGGAAAAAATGCATGATATATAGCTATTTAAGTTTGTGTTATGGTTTGGCTTTTTTCTTGTGGAAAGCATGAAGTGTCTTGGGATTAAAGCTTGCCTTTTTCTTTTTAAATTGTGTTTTAGGCATGAATGCTGAATCTAATATAGCCATCTTCCCTTATTTTTTTTAAAAATAGGCCTGCCTGTAAACTAAGAACAAGTTTAAGGTCTTCCTGATGAAATAGGCCAGAGAGAGAAGCAGAGATAACATCCTTGGGTGCTAAGGAAGAACCCAGCCAAGTTGTTTAGTATGCAAAACGTCTATGTTCTTCTTGGCCCAAAAGTTCCAGTGCTTGAAAATATCCAACAGAGCACTAACTTTTTTCAGGCAAAAATACTAGCAAGCAATCTTAAACTCTGTGTACATTTTGAAACAAATGAGTGATCTGGAAGGCTATTATTATTTCTTCCTTAACAGCATCAGTTAAGTAGTTTGCTGGAATTGACAGTGTGGTGGTTTATTTGTGTGTATTCATAGGGAGGGACTTGCTTCACTCTTAATTTGGATCCTTCAGTATACTGTTTTATGTTTGCTATTCAGAAATAAAAAGCCTTGTTTTAGTAGAACTTTACCCAGAACTTTAGTAGAACTTTACCCAGTCAATCCAACACTCTGCTCAAATATAATGTTTGGTCTTTGTAGGTATAATCATACGGTTTACCTGTGAGAGAGAACCATTTTGGCAACTGTACATGCATCAGGAACTGTTCTGAGAATCTAGTTATTGTACAGTCATTTCATCTTGGAAGAGAGTGATGATTTATGCTAGTTGTATACCGTATTTTCCGGCGTATAGGGCGACTGGGCGTATAAGACGACCCCCTATCTTTTTAATTAAAAGATAGGGTTTCATCTTATACCCCAGCGCCCTTCCGCCTCCTTTGCTCCTGGTGTCCCTGGTCTGCTGGAGATGGTCCCCAGCAGACCAGAGGCACCGGGAGCAAAGCCGCAGCAGCTTTGCAAAGCCTCGGGGGAAGCCGGTGGGGGGGCATCCCAGGCGGGCCTGGGATGTATACCCGGCGTACAAGACGACCCCCAATTTTTGGGGGATGTTTTTTAACATCAAAAGTCATCTTGTACGCTGGAATCTACGGTATTACAATTGGAAAAGGTACAGAGAGGACAACAAAAATGTTTCATACCCCTCCTTAGCTTCTGTATGAGTAGAAGTTAACAAGACTGAGAATGATCAGTTTAGAAAAGGGACAACTGAGGGGAGGTATGGTAGAGGTCTATGAATGGTATGGGGAAAGTGAATAAGGAAGTGTCATTCATCCTTTTACATACCCCAAGAACCAAGGATCACCCAATGAAATGAATAGGCAGCAAATTTAAAACACAAGTAGGCATTTTTTTGATGTTTTTTAACTTCAGAGGTCGTCTTGTACGCCGGAATATACGGTAGTTGTTATTTGGATTTCTTCAAACTAAGACTAGTGATTCTAGCATCATTTCTGTCACTTGGGATAAGAAGCTCCTTATATGTTAAAAGTGTAATAATGCTTGTAGGTTTTTAGGTAACCCGTGTAGGTTTTATGAATTGCTTTAACTATGGAGTGTTTCCACCATGCATGTGTCATTTGAATTCAGTCCTGCATGTTTCAGGATGTGGCTGATGGGAGATCCAAACAAAAGTTAAGAGACCCAGGACTTGAGTTGGAATATCTATTTTGCTACAATAATCTCCTTGAATTAAAACATGATCTTCAGAGTGGTTTTAAGTGGATTTCTAGTTAACTTAGTGCTTTTTTTAGAGCCTCCCAGATTTCTGCATTTGAATTTTTTTAAATGTATTACTAAGAGGTAGAAAGCCGACTGATTTTTTTTTAAAGCGGGTGCTTTGCTTTGCTTATACTGCATTAGTAACATGTAAGCATTTGACTCACTTGTAAAGAGAGAGCATTAAAGCAAACATAATTGCAGCAAAGTTATTGCTTGTAAATTTGAGTCCAGCTTACAGAATGGCTTAAATCTTCCCTCATATGCTGCTGTTTTATAAACAAAAAATAAATTATTATAACCTAGAGATTTCAGAAATTCTTCTGACATTGAGTTGTATTTTCTCTTTATGTGCTTCAGCTAGTTCCAGTCTTATCTTAAGGAGGTTACTATTTTACCCTTGCAGTGATGATTTTTATTTTCAGTAAGTGTACCGTCCCCTTCCTGTGTTTAGATCAGGGGTGGGCAATAATTTTTGATGGTGGACCACTCCCAAGATTTTGGTAAGTGGTCAAGGGCTGCACTTTTCTATGGAGGGAGTGATGGGGCTTGAGGCGGAGGCAGTGTGCAAAGTCCCCCCTCCCTCCCCCGCCGTCTTACCTCCCCACTAGGGGCATGCATTGCCTAGAGGGAGCAGCCTCTAGGTTGCAGCAGGCAGAGAGCCTGCCTCAGGGTCTTGGTGGGGTGGGCTGCAGGCCAGATCAAAAGGCTCAGAGGGCTGCATCTTGCCCTCCCCTGCTTTAGATCCTAACCATTGGCTTGACCTTCCATTGCTTGCAGGCGCTTTGAGCGAGCCTCTAATGCAAGACTGTTCCCTGCATTTGCTAGTGTAGCACTGAATACAGATTTGTACCTTGGTCCTGTAGCAAGATTGGGGTCTTGGCCAGAAACAATATAAAAGCTTCATTTCTAGCCTGTCTAGGACATCCAACAAGTCACTGTTTTAAAGAAAACTAGAAACTGGAACTTGCTTATCATACACAGATGCCAACATAATGTAATACACTATATAATAAAATAAAAAATAAAGTACCTTTTCAAAACCCAGTAAAGGATTAGGAAGTTTCTACACTGCTCACCCTCATCCTCCAATTTTTTTCCTTTGTTTCAGAAAATGACCGGCATCAGTCTGCCCATTTGATTTTCATTTATTTTCAACAACTTTACATGTGTAACTTACAACACAGATTTTAAAGGACGCTGTGTTGATATGAGTGCTATCTTTCTTTTAACATTTTTGTCCACCAAACCTTGCAGCTCTATCAAAACATTAAGTTGTACAATTAAGAAATGGTTCAATTTAGTTCAAGAACACCCTTTTCTGAGTGGGGGAACAGATGATATGATGCTATGCTTATAATGAAGGCATGGTGTGTTTATGTTTTTGCATTGGACTGTGTTCATTTGACAAATTCTGAAAAAAGTGTTTCCAGAGAATAAGTAGTAATTTTTCTGTTTGTATTCAAAATTTTATGTGCTTTAGCACTACTGTTTCCTTGCACTGCTTTAAAGGAGGTATCCCATCCCATCCCATCCCATCCCATCCCATCCCATCCCATCCCATCCCATCCCATCCCATCCCATGGAAGTGAGATTAGAAGAAACAGATATTTGTAATAAGATCAGACATATTTTAATCAAAGCGTATACTGATATAGGATTCTATCTATATCATTTTACTAGTACTGTGGATGCCCCTAGAGATCTGATCATGATCAGCACCCATTGTGCTACATAAATACATAATAAGAAGCAGCCCCTGTTCAAGAGTTTAGAGTCTAACTATGTATACCTTTAAAACTATAGATTTTCTTCTCTTAGTTTGTTGTAATGGATATTGTTGTTGTGTAGGTACAACAGAACGAGGAGGAAGAGAAACCAGTGACTTCATCGAATCCAGTGTTGGAGCTAGAACTGGCAGAAGAGAAGTTACCCATGACTCTTTCCAGACAAGAGGTAAAATCAAACATAATTAATTAACTTGTGATTATAGCAAATGGGTTCTAAATTTCCCCATTTAAGGCTACATTTCCTAATAATCTATAGCCCTCTATTCCAGATTGTATCTGTCCTGCTACAGAATAATAGTGTTTAGTTAAATAATTGCCATCTCAAGAGTTTGTTGCAGTGGTTCTATTTAGTTCTCATTCAGAGGCCTTCTTTTTGGGTTGTGCAAAACACTAATGAGAGAGTAGTAGCAGTTAAATGCCCAGGAATGTTTGGTGGAAAGCCTCTTTTTTCACCCTTATTGCTGCATGAGTTCTTACTTCTACTACCCTTCCAGAGGATTTTTTAAACTATCTAATGAATAAGGGATTATAGGATTGAAAGCTACAGGCTGAATTTTTTCAAATTCTATTTTTCCAGCTTGTGTGTCTGTGACATGTTAATCCAAATCAAGATATAATCTAGGTTTAAAAAAAAATTATATATCCCCAAAAAACAGTCAAACTAAAGTTACTGGTATGTTCTTTCACTTGTTTAAGAGTAAAAGTCTCTTACAGGTTCATTGCTAGTAAAACAAAGCCCCTCACATATAACATTGGAGTGCAGGGCAATTCAGAGTCAAGTTATAAAATAAACTTATTATGTGGGAGTGTTGGAAATTCACAGTTAAGATACCCATAGCATCTTAGTTGTGTCGCCTTATCATTTCCTTCTCTGTGTAGTGGATATTGAAAATGTGCCCAATGGACTGATGGTTTCAAGTTGAGTTTCATAGATGCAGTCTATTATGGAATGTGAAGCCCCCATCACCCTGCATCATAGCTCTGCTCATAAGCATTGTAACTTCATCTGAGAGGTGTTTCAGTGTCAATATGCCAGATCAGTGTCCACTCATTGTGTAGTGAGTACTGAAAGTTCAGTGCTTATCCAAATACAGGAGTCTGTGCAAAGAATCGTGTTACTGAGTGAACATCAATCAGTGAGAGTGCTGTATTAAATGTAAGCTACCAATGGGCCTATTGCTTGTTTGTTTATTTGTGCAAAAAGGAACCTAGACCAAGTTAGTATATTTGAAATGAACTTGATGAGGGAGGCTGTGTGATTTAGCAGGTAGTGCATGGAAATGGGATTGTAGTCTTGAGACTACCCATCTCTTGGTAAGTTACCCATCTCTTGTGATATTGGGTAAGTTAATGCCTCTGCCTCAGTATGCTGTTCTTTAAATTAAGACTATGTAAGTACCACATCAGAATATTGAGACATATTAATGTTTGTCAAGTGCTCTGAGATGCATGGGTAAAAGGCTTCTTAATAGCTCAATCATCAGATCTGCTCATCCACACTCTCATTGATGAAAAAGGCTTTTCTTGCCCTAGTCAAGTGGCTAAGTAGGATTTTGCAAAGTTTAAAGTTACTGGATGGAATTTTCTCAAGCACCAACCTGATTTGGGCTATGTCATGTCACTTGGACACTTTTAAAAATCCCATTATACAATTAAAGATTGATAATCTTGCATATTAGTTCAAAATAAGCCATTAAGAAGAAATTCCAGGAATCTGCTTGAGATTCTAAACAGAATTTAGATCAGTAATATTTGAATTAAAATGACCTTTTGCTGAAATGTCATGGGAATTTTTATATTCAAACCACAAAGTGGAACATTTTGCTGCAGCTCTTTAGACTATAGCATTTCCCCTTCCCCTCTGGCTAAGGTTGCTATTTTATGCTAAGTAAATAAAGTTAGTTGGATTTTTATTTTGCTTTCTATCCAGTTTTGCATAAGGGAACATTTTGTTCATTCTTTGCAGGTGATTAGGAGGTTGAGAGAGAGAGGTGAACCAATCAGATTGTTTGGAGAAACAGATTATGATGCATTTCAGCGTTTGAGGAAAATAGAAATTCTTGCACCTGAAGTTAACAAGGTAAGACCCATTAAGTAAGAGCTGAGCATCAACAGAATAAGTGTATGTGTAACTAGTTTTCTCTGAGCATTTACTGTGTCTGGATTTTTATAAGGATGAAAAGTCATAAAGCAAAATGGAAAATACCTTCAGTTCCCACTTCTGGGTCTCACCCTCCCTGACTGAATTAACCTCATTATCTCTAGCCTGCATATTTATACCTGCTTCTGGAAATTTCCACTACATGCATCTGACGAAGTGGGTCTTTGCCCACGAAAGCTTATGTTCATATACATCTGTTAGTCTATAAGGTACCACAGGACTCCTTGTCACTTTTGCAGATCCAAGCTAACACAGCTGCCCCTCTGATACTCTATAATATAGGCATCTCTACCTGGAAAGGAGTATTTTGAATTGTCTGCGTCTGAGCAGAGACATGTTATTAACAGGGGGAGTGCATTGTTTCTGATGTGCAGTTCAAGTTTTTCAAATTCCTTACTTCTAGATTTAAAAAAATTAAAGCTTTTTTCAATTTAAAGTACAGTTTAGTTCTGAAACATGACTTAAGATAGCATCTTAGTTAACAAATTTGTTCCTTATGTGCTAGGATAGGTCTACACTTATGGCAGCATACAAAGTACAGATAGTGCACACCCAGCTAGCACTGTTATACATACCAGTGTAGATAGTAAGGCATGTCTTAGGCAGGTACACCAGGGTAGAGTGCCCTACAAAGGCTAGACCTCCAGGGTATGTACCCTATATGGTCTTTTTACATGCCAAGCAGTACCTCCCACCTTTACCCTGCTATTTTTAGTCATGTAGTGTTCCCATCCACAGTCTCCCTCTGCTGCAGTGAATGGCTCTGATGGGCAAGCAACAGGAAAATCCAGCAGCTCCCTGGTGCTGGAGCTTTCCTCATTCTATCCCTCTGCAAGTGCCTTTCACTCCCATATGTAACTGCATAATACAGTGACAAATGTGGATGCAGCCTGCCTTTTACTCTGCCTGTTCTCTCTTTGCTGCTTGATTGCTCAAGGGAAGATGTGGCACAGAGCCTGTCTACCTGGAAGTACGTCAGAATACACTACAGAATGTTTAGTGCATGATAGCAAAGTCCACACAGTGAGTTAGTATGTGGAAGACTTGTACACTGTAGATTCACCTCCCAACTTGCAGCACACTAACTTTCCATGCAAACAGGCCCTGAATTTTTCCTCGTGTACCCTTTTGATATCTGCAACACTGTTAGAGAAGAAACAGGTGACCCGGGAGTGGATGGGGTAAATAGAACTGCTTTATTGCCCATGTCTGTTAACCTTGGACCCCCAACTTATTGTTTTGAGTGGCAATAACTTGGTACCAATTACACCCTTTTATTTATTTTAGTATGTTAATTTACACACTTACTGCTACTTTTTTAAAAACTTTATTTTGTATGTTAACCTTTATACAATGAATATTAACAGGCAGGTGATGAATAGTATTATACCTGCCCCGATTATTATTTACAAATTTTTAAATTAAATTATCACTTTTTTATGCTACAAACTTTTTGAATTAGCAGGTTACAGAGATTACGAGAAAACTAACCCTGAAATATTTTATACAGAGCCAGTGAGGGTAAGTAAAGGACACAACAAAGAAGAGCAGCTGCGTGCTTGCTTATTTTTT